GCGCCGCTGGGCTCCGTGAGCGAGGAGCCGTGATCCGCCAGCTAAACATGCTGTGCGGATCACGAGGTGTCGCAGCTCCCGAGTGAGCTTGAAGACCACATCCATGATGCCAATGTGCTCTGGATTGTGGCAGCAGTTCTTCGCCCGAGACAGCGATGAAAAATGGTTTCGGTGTAGCTTGCTGCGACGATGACCTGCGTGGTGTTTGCATGTTCGCATAAATTAGTGCTGCGTTGATGATGTACATTAGAAATTATGTGTGTTTACATAATCTGTTTTTCCTTTGATTTTCTAGTTTGATTTGTGCAATGCGTCTCGGACACCCGTTTGGCTCTATTTTCCACCGGCATCAGTAGCCACAGACCCACGTGCTTGTGTGTCCAACATGTGCGGGAAGCCTGGAGCTCCTCCATCATACGGCAGCGTCAAAGATCTTGCTAACAAGATGCTTCGGTGGTTTTTCCCAAAAATGTCATGCGATCAAACTGCAAACAAACCTGGTTGAACTATTCAGGGGCTCTAAGGGTCGGTTTGCACCGCCTGCGGAGACACAGGGCGATTGCAGGTTCCATGAAAGGGATCCGTGCTTTTCACCCGCCCGGAGCCCGAGAGGTGCATAGTTATGCGCAGAACTTGTACAGTCGCCAGCAAGGAGCGCCTGACCTAGGAGATTCAGGAGTTTGGGTTTGGGGTTTTGGAATAAGATTGCTTCCGATGGTAGGTTTCGGTGTGTGGTATTCGTAAGTCTTCGGCTCCCGCTTTGAGGCCGATTCCCATATTTGTCGGGCTGACGACAGTTGGCAATGGTGTCCCGTGAAAATTTTCCAGCGAATAATGGCGCGATATTTTTTCGAAGGTAAGACTTCATCGTTGCAATCATGAGGTCGGTTTCAAACAATCGGTTGTCCTTGCGACTAGCAAACATTCGCACTCCTGTACCTGCGTCTGATATGCACTGCATGCCATCACCCCAGCCGAACTGCAGTAATTGCGACGAGGATGGTCACGGCGATGAGTGTTCTGATTTGTAGAGCTTCGACTTTCCTGCCTGACGCTCCAAATATCGGAAACATCCACAGGCAATGTCAACCAATATGATATGGCTTAGGTTTTCATCGGGCTGGTATCCGTTTCGGTTGCTCCTTCATCCAAACAGTCTAAGTTGTGCTTATGGAGTGTTGGAGAGTTTGACAGTTTGTTGGACTCTTTTTCGCATGCTTTGGAAAGCTTTTTTACACCTCCTTTGTGCAGGGTGTTTTTCGCGAGCTTCAAACCCGAAGTTCCAAAGCATTACTGTCCGAACTTTGAGCAACTAATGCCCGAAATCCCAAGCCCCAAATGCTCACTCATATAGTCCAACACACTGGATGTGTGTGTGTGTGTGTGTCTGTGTGTGTGTGTTTTCGTGTGTATAGTATGTATATACACATATGTGTGTGTATATATATATGTGTCTGTGTGTGTGTCTAAGCAAACAACTTGAACCCAACTCGAAGCCCTGACGCAAGTGCCTGATGTGTAAGCCCTACAAAGACATTGACAGTGCATACCACCCCACACCCCCAAACCCAGGCGTCCAGCCAAACAACAGTTCCCTGCGACGAACATCCTCAAGCGGTCCAATGCTTGGGATCATGGGGGTTTAGCGGCTTTGGGGTTAAGGTTCGGGGATATGTGAGGCCTGGTTATTGAGGGTTCACGGCTTGGGGTCTTGTTTGATGTGTTCGGAGGCGTTGCGAGGGATTCAAGGTTCTTAGGGTACATCGGGAAAGCAGGGTTTGAGAATCTCCCGGTGATGACCGTCAAGGTCAGATGCAAAGCAAGCAAAACCAACATCATTCCGACAATGATCATGGCAAGAAGAGCTTCGTATCACTGAGTGATGTTCCTGCTCCTCCTTCATGTGCTGCTTCTTCTCTTCGCCCTCCTTATCTGCACTATCATAATCCGTAGCAGCATGAGCCGCATCTCGCTGAGCCATCTTCTTCCCAATAGGCTGCTGCTCCCTCTTTTTCAACACCCTCACCCTCGCGCTCACATGCGCTCACCAGCACCCCTAAACCCTTAAACCTTAAACCCTAAGCACCGTCGTCATCCCGTGGTGGTGCTCCTTGCAGAACCCTTACAGTATTCTAAGGTCAGAAGTATGGGCCCCTAATTTGGACCCTTACCCTCCTTTTTGAGGGAGTTCGAGGCACCCTTAAGAGTCTATACAGGGTCTATAGTAGGTATTTAAGGTGTCAAATCCGTTCCTTCCAAGCGAAGCTGTCCCTACGAGCCCAGGCTTATATGGGTACTATCAGAAATATATGGGAGTTTCCGAAAATTGCGGGTACCTTAGGGCTCCTTTATTATAAGGGTTCCTATACTGGTTTAGGGTTTTGGGTTTAGGAAGTTTAGGGTTCAGGGTTTAGGGCTTAGGGTTTTGGGGTTTGGGTTTAGGGAGTTTCCTGCTTAGGCTTCAGGGTTCAGGGCCTTAGGGTTCCTTTAAAGGGGTCTATAAGGGTTACTATAGGGATCTATAAGGGTACTATGGCAATGTAGGAACCTGATTGAGAAACCTTGGGCCTTTATTAGGGCTCCTTGTATGTATCCTGCTATTTTGGGGTTATAGGCCCAGGGTCACTTAATCAGGTTCCTAGATTAGTAATCCTCACAGCAACCGATATGGAACCCCCGTAGGGTTTAATGGACAACTGGGCTCCTAGGGCTTGGAGATTTCAAGTTTTCCCTTATTGGCCTTAAAAGGATCGTATTTACGACTATTTTCCAGAGGCTTTGAAGGGCCAACCTAGTGATCCCTAAACTTTAAACCCTAACACCCCAACAAAGCCCTAGACCCTAAACCATCCCTGAACCCTTGTAGTTCCATGATGAGCGAAGCTTCCAGTGATGCGAGCGAAGGGCTTCTGCATATGACATAGTAGAATCTAGTACAATCTAGTATAATATATATATATATACATACACACATATATAAGAAACTAGTTCTAGTATACTGCAGTATAGTATAGTGCGGGTTTTTTGTATGCAAAGACCCAAAGACCCAAACCCTCAAACCAAAGTTCCCAAACCTGAGCCCTAAGAGTCTCCCAATTCCACTCGTCCCCAACTCAACCCGAATCCCAGTATTAAACCTTGTATAGCAAATCCTTTCGATTTCCCTATGAATCCTCAACCTTTTGTGGTAGCCCGTATAATACCCCTCAGAGCGATCCTAACTAATTACTCCCCCTTCAGCTCTGGACGTCAGGACAGGACTGGCAAGTGATTCTGGAGCCCGTGATGGAGCTGGGCTCCACAGCCACTCCGCTTCGAACAAAAAGGGAGGATGCGCTCCTTTACGGCTCCTACTGCTATTTGTTGCTTAATTGTCGCCCTTCCGCTTCAATGCAAGGCTTATGAAGCTTTCAGGGTTGCACTCCTGGACGGAGTTTGCAGACCGAGGGCTCAAGCCTTCACTCTCAGGTATCTCTGTGAGTTCAGGACTGGAGTTTGGGGCTCGAGTTTAGAGTCCGCGAGTAAGGATGTTACTCTTTCAGTATCGCAAGACACTGTTTCATGCTACCCTGATTGGGTTCTTGTTGCCGGTCAAGTAACTTGCTTGATTTTTGCCCTCGCGTACCTTCCCTTCTTGCGCGCGATGCGAACACAAAGGATGTTCCTTGGTGCAGCGTGCCTTGCAGCTCTCGCAATGGCATTGGTGCAGGCTGAAGATCCTTCCTGCGACACTCCGGAGTCTTTGAATGCTTTTAACATCTGTTCACTTGGTTCTTGAAGAGTGATTGACGTTCACCTTCGGCACCCACAATGGCAGTCGAGGAGGAGACGGTGACGTTGCTGCAGGCCACGCATCTCCCCCAAGCACGATCGAAGCGCGAACGTCTTCTGGAAGATGCAGACGCAGATGTTCAGGTTGGCAAGCACGATGGCATGAAGAACCTTGAGAATCTGCTGTTCCGCCAGCCGAGTCCCGAGACGGCTGAAGCTACTAAGGAGCAGCACTCCAGTTCAAGATTACTGTCTTGCGATCAGTAGACTAACAAACATGCTCAGCTCACGTGCCCGAGAACGGAAGCTGTGATGAGGAGCTGCGTAGGTGTACATGCAGCCTTGTGCCTCCATTTCATCATAAGGACCCTAAAGGGGGGAGGGGGGGTAGGGGACTATACTTCCTTAAATAGGCCTTATTTGGTCCTTATGATGGGCATTAAGGCCCCCTACTCTCCCCCCTCCCCCTCCTCCCTATGATTCTGCCTCCACTCCACAGCAGGAGGCCTTTGAGAAGTACGACAAGAATGGGGACGGCTTTCTCACACGTGACGAGATCGCCGGTATGTTGAAGGATTTTGGCGGTGGTGGCAGCACCCTGACAACAAATTGAAAGAGTTAGGAGTTTTTTGACCGAAGAGAGAGGATTTCGTCTGCGTCCTGCTGCTCTAGAGGTTGCTTGGGGGGTGATGTTCTTTACACGCGGAACTTGAGATGTTTCTCGAATCCTAGTTGGGATGGAACGGGCAGCAGTCGTTACGCTTCAGACTAGGTTTTAGCAAGTTGTGTTGCTTCCTCTAGTTGGCGGACACCTTCACAGGCACCTCCAGGGTAGATAGGCTCTAAGCTGGAGCTCAATTAGGCCGCAGACAGAAGAAACCCTAAAGCGTAAACTATGCCTTAAACCCTAAAGGAGAGCACCGCGACCCGACCAGGGCCCCCCGACTGAGATGACACTGGCACCGAGGCGAAGCATCATTGGAGGAGGTCTCCGTGGCTTGCGTGGTAAGACGTACGCATTAGGTGACTCCTCAATGTTCCTCTCTTGTTTGCATGATTTAGCGTGAAGCTCTACCTCGGACTGCTGTAGCGCGCAGACAGCTCACAGCTGATAGCTGACTCACGTACCTTGTGCAACTAGCTGCACCTGGGCAGTAACGGTATTAGGGCCTCTTTGCAGGCGGCTGACATCTTCATTTCGAAGTATGACACGAATGGTCGGGGCCTTTGCGAATGGGAAGTAGCCAATGTTTCATCGCGACCTTCCTCATCGTCGCACGCATAAAGCAGTCTGCAACGTCTGCAACCGCGGAAAACCGCGAACACATTTGTTGTGATGGCTGCTTGTTCTGCCGCGTCGTAGTGCCATGCTGTGAGGTGATCACAAGCTGAGCTTCATGGAGGTCCTGATGCATGAGAAGTACTAATGACAAGTGAGCTCTTTTCGGCGGAGACGGCTCTGGGGACCCAGGGTTTCCCTATGTTTCCGGTTTCGGATCACATCAGCGGATGTAGGCATGATGTCATTGAAATCTGAGAGGTGGGAAGTCGTTCCAGTGTGCCTGAACTGCTGACCATCCAGCTTCTCTATTTGGGGTGCATTCGGCCGTGCTCCGAAGCTACAACTCGCTGCAGCTTGAAGTCTCAAAAATCAAGCTGCAGTGCCGTGCTCCAAAGCGAAAACGGCAGCAGCAAAGATAAAGCTTCTGACGGTGCAACGTGCCACGTTCAGGGGCTAGCGATTTCCGTTTCGGATACGCCGATGCCTCTCGCCTTGCAAGAAGGGCCGGAGCGCGACATTCCTTAGACTTCGGAAAATCAGCTTGGCTTTTAGCTTGGAGGGGGTTCCGATATCCCTGAGTTAAGGGTCCCTTCCAAAAGGGGTTTAGGGTTGAAGCGGTGTATGGCGAATGAATGAAGATGTCATGAAAGTCGTTGTAGCAATTTTGCTGTTCCACTTCCATCGTGGTGCTGCTGTGAATGATGTTGTAGCGGTCACCGTGGCTGCAGTCGTCTGATCGCTGTTCCTGAAATGGAAACAGTACACACACACAAACAAGCGCGCACACACACACACACCCACTAACACTATGAGCTCGAAATCCAGGATGCAGCATTAGGGGCTGGCGGTTCAAGTTTTGCTTGATTTCTACCCCCCCCCCCTCCGCAGGGTAACACCAGCATTTTAGAGACCGGCCACCAAGTGCTGCCGCGAATGAAATCCTGAAGTCCAGAGGGCTGCCGCAGCTTACGCGCGACGAAGCCTTCTTGCTCAAAGCTTTGCAGACGCAAGCCAGTTCAGAATGCTAACAAACCCGGAGTGATGAGATGTCAGCTGTCTTCCCAGACAGCTCGGCTGCAGCAGTCTTATTTGTCCGCAGCCCAATGCCCTAAACTATTCAAAAACTGCCGTGCTTAGTGCCTCGACTCGACCAGTTGAAATCCGTGAAAACGCCTTGAAGCCCCTGAAAGCCCTAAAACCGCATCCCGCTGCAGAGCCGGAACTACACCCTCCAGATTCGTCATGAGTCCCCGAATTTAGGGTTTAGGGGTTTAGGGTTTCTGGTTCTGCTTTTTGCTTTCATTCCTAGATAAACTATGTGTTTATACGAAAATGTACACCGTTCTAAGTGTTCATGCCTCTATACTCTCTTGAAGCACGGGTACCTCACTCAAAGACATTTGCTTGTATAGGAAGTACTACTGGCCTAACGGCTCTGGCAGAAGGCTTCCGGCGGATCCTAGCAGCTAGTCAAAGGTCTTTGCAACAAGGGTCCTACTGTTTGGGTAATTACTGTCACAAGATCTCCGATCATGATGGCGGTGCCGGCGTACCTGCAGGCTGATCGGATGAGCAGTTCCCCGACACATCAGGATTCCAAGTGCTGAGGTTGCTGCAGTAGTACTCCTGAGTTCTAAACTTGTCTGAGAACACTGGGGATGAATTCTACCCGACCCTCCCCCCAACTTCAAATTCGTTCCTGCTGCAGGCGGCGCGCTCTCATACACGAGCCGCGACGGCTTCTGCTGCCTACGTTCAGGCCGGCTGCACCGTATCATTGAATCCGGGCTCTTGCCTATGAGCTGGACTTTAGAAACCCGCCATTCTCTGCATGCTTGCCCGAATAGCCCCTGTGCCTGTGAAGCTGTCCGTTGTGATTAGATTCTGATTAGATAGTTGCCCCTCCAAAAAATGTCAACTCCTCCTGCTTTGAGATGAAGAGATCTCCGTGCGGGTTCAAGCACTTCACGGCTCTGTCACGTATCCGCAAGCTCAGGTTGTACGACGCCTGCATCTCCGGCACCCTAGCGGCGAGGCTAGTGGGAGTTTCCGAAAATAGGGGACCCTAACATAGTACCCCAAATGGTAGGATCCTTATTATAAGGACCCCAAAATAAGGTACCCCAAATTTCGGAAACTCCCAGTTGCTTGCACGACTTTGTGAGTGATAGAACACAGGAGATTCCGGCTTCAGTGGTGCCGGTGACTGCAAGTGGGTGAAGGAGACTCTGAGACTCTTACACCTTGAAGATATATGGGAGTTTCCGAAAATCAGGGGTACCTTACTTGGGGTCTTCATAATAAGAATCCTACTATATAGGGATCCTACTATCTAGGCTACTATATTAGGGTCCCCTAATTTCGGAAACTCCCATATATGGCCCGAAGGGTTCGTTCTACTCTGCGATTGTGCGTGCAGGTCGCACGGCAGATCCGGCACAGCACGCAGACTCTCCGATGCATTTTGCATTTCGAAGGACTTAGCTCTGTGGCACCTTGAGAGCTCAGCTTCGCTGCAACATGAATCCCGTAAGAATCACCTAGATACCATGCCATGACAATTAATCCCCGTGCTCAAGGATGTTGCTCGACCCTTCAGTGCCAAGTAGATGTGCGTGCATGTTTGGGTGTGGGTGTGCTTGTGTGGGTGTGGGTGTGGGTGTGTGGGTGTGTTCGTATCTGAGCACTCATGTTCCTTCTCTGTTGAAGTTTACATTCTGGTTCTAAGGGGCATATAGTTTGTACCATGCTTTGTTTTCTTGCCCATGTCATACTCAGTTTCTGGTGGCTAGCAGGTTTTCTGTAGAATATGATGCGCAGCACACGTCGCGACAGATCACCGGACGGCCCCATCCGTACTCAGGTCACCTCCGACTTCAGCTCCATCCTTCGTCATTGCCGATACCTCAATGAAGTATCACTCCGAACGCACATGCCGCATCGGCTGAATCATGGCACTCTTCGTGCGCCTTACAGGTGCCTGCGCCGAGCCGAGTGCTAGTCCAGCGGCTACTCTGATGCATTCGAGTTTCTGCAGGCTAGGAGTTTCAAGAATAAAGTGTAGTGAGGGGAGGACAACCCGGGCTCAAGTGCAGCATACATGTCATGACTCTTATGATTGCAGCCTGTGGCACGTGCCGGAGTCTTATTGGGGGTCGGGGCCAGGGCCCCGATTCGATCAAAACCTACAACCCAGATCCTAATATCTTTAACTGCAAACACCAGCTAACAAGCTCTAAATCCGTCTGCCGGCTAAGGCTCCCGGTGCACCCGATCGCTGCAGCTGCCAATGCCTCAAAGTGTCATGCTGAGGTTTCCAAGTTTTCTGGGGCTTGCTACGGTTGCCTGTTTAGTAGCTTTTGCTAGGGTTTTCTGGGGTGTTGTGCAGCGCCCGGTCCTGCGGCCCATATGTCTCCTCAGATTTCCGATAAATCCTAACCTCCGCCAAACCATCCAAAGATGCAGTGCTTCAGCTTTCAGAAACGCCTTTCATATCAACTAACATAGTTTTTGAGATGAAGATTCCTTGCGGGCCCCTTTGTTCTGCGAAAGCTTGACGGCATCGACGGTTCTTGCTGTCGATAATGTCTCTATGGGCCGCGGTTTTGCTATGACTGTCCATGTGATTGCTACCGGTTCTTATCACTCTAGCTGTCATTGCCGTTAGCTGTACTTTTGACAATGTCGGCTTCATTATGCTGAACATCAGTTTGGGTTGTTGCTATTGCTGTTGCTGTTGCTGCTGTTGTTGGTGGTGTCTCTGGTGTTGTTGTCGGTGGTGTTGGTGTTGGTGTCGCTGTCGGCGAAGGTGTCGGTGCTGGTGCTGTTGTTGTCGTTGTCGTTGTCGTTGTCGTTGTCGTTGTTGTTGGTGGTCGTGGTGGCGATGGCGGTGGCGTTGTTTTTCTCGTTGGTGTCGGTGTTGGTGTTAGTGGTTGTGGTTGCGGTTCTGGTTGGTGGTGGTGGTGATGGTGGTCGTAGTGGTTGTGGAGCTGCTGGTGGTACTGGTGGTGCTGGCGCTGGTGGGGCTGGTGGGGCTGGTGGGGCTGGTGGTGCTGGTGGTGCTGGTGGTGCTGGCGGTGCTGGTGGTGTTTGTGGTGGTGGTGTTTGTGGTGGTGGTGTTGGTGTTGGTGTTTTGGTCGTCGTCGTTGTTGCTGTTGTTGCTACTGCTGCAGCTGCCATGATCGTCATTCATATCACAGCAGGTTATCGAAAGTAAAAAAGTTACGTAGTTGCAGCGGTGGAGGACAGGACTCAATGTTGAACCCGGCCTTCCTATTCCCAAGGCCATTGCGAAACCTGCACACATTCAACGGCACTTCATTGGGCACCCAAACACACCCTTTGGACCAGAAGCCCTAGTCCGGTACTTTTTCGGCCTTTCACGGAACGAGAACCTTATCTTCCGTCGCAGGTGCCCCTGGTGCCAGAGCAGCCTCGAGGCTGCGATGCCCCAAAGATCGGCAAATAGCATCCGTGTCCTGTAGCTGGGAGTGATCTCGGGCCCGACGTCGTCGGTCGTAATCATTGCAAGTTAGTACCGCTCTTGTGACACGCTGGCGTAAGCTTTTGTTTCAGTCTCAATCTGGAAGGAGGCGGCACTGTAGGAGACGCGCCGTTTGTTTCCGCGAAGAGATGAGAGACCGTGCCCATCGCAATGTACACATGGTGGCTGAATCAAACCTGCATTGAGTGCGTATGACGTGGAGGTCGACCATGTAGTGAGCACCATCTCGTAGCAGCATCTCCCGTGCGTCAGGCAGGTTCGGAAGAGAAGCAATGCGAAACAGAGCTGCCATTCCATCGTGAATCCATCCAGGCGAACCTCGCACTGAACACAAAAACCGACTCCCAGATTCGCATGGTGCTGTTCTCGACATGTTGCCAGGCATCACCCTGGGCTTGCCAGGGGATGCCGTGGCACGGCTGCTGCCGGAGTCTGCCAAAAAGGCTTGTGCCCGTGTTTTTCAGACAGTTACGGCTACGGTAACAGGTACGATTGAACTACCAGAACACAACGTGGCTGTAGTACATATAGTGAGGCTGCGTGGATATAGACCTTGGGGTTTGCAGCCCCAGGGTCCAGAACTCTTGGGACTGAGAGCGACCGCCGCAGAGACAGAAAACTCAGTGAGACTCTCCAAACCGTGGCTGCCTAGCCACGGCACAGTGTCATGAGTGGTGTTACTTGCTACCAACTCATGACCCTGGGTTCGGACAGCCTTTATAATGTCTTTACATTTGAGAAGGCTTGCAAGTTTATGCGGGCAAGGAGCAAGCTCCAAGCAGTTAACTAGGCCAGCTTCTGCGAAAACTTGGCCTCACCAAACACATGTTCTTGAGTCTTGCTGGCCCACACGGGCAGACACGATGGAAGCTGACGTTCGGTAGTAGCATCGAGCACACGATCATGAAAGCTCATGCTTTATGTACTTCTACCTCTACTGTTCGTCGTAGCTCCGCAATTCCGAAATCTGCCGTGCAATGACGAGGCAAACAGACGGCGCAGGCGCCACGTCACGACGTGGCGCTTTGCGCCGCTGGGCTCCGTGAGCGAGGAGCCGTGATCCGCCAGCTAAACATGCTGTGCGGATCACGAGGTGTCGCAGCTCCCAAGTGAGCTTGAAGACCACATCCATGATGCCAATGGGCTCTGGATTGTGGCAGCAGTTCTTCACCCGAGACATCGCTGAGAAACGGGTTCGACACTGCGTGGTCTCCTGGATAATGTGTATGCATGAATTAGCCGTCTCCATCACCACGTGTAGGGGGTCGTGGGGATGTTTGTGGGGCAGCACGCGCTTTACTATGACGTAGGGCATTGCGCAAGCACATTGAGCAAGAGCTGATAGGTGGCATGTATATATTTTGGACGGAACAAGTGTGCCTGATTCTTGGGTTGTTTCTTGCACGATCTTGTCGCAAATGCAAAAAATCGTTTGACAAATACGGCAGGTGAGCAACTGGTGTTACGTAAGCGAGCACTCGGTTTCACCATATTTCCCATAGGTTCGGACGTCAGTGGGGTCAGCATAGCATACTTAGCGAGGCTTCACACGATGTTGTGCAGCGACGATCATACTTTGGCATAGGTATGGTTGCCACGGTAACAGCTGTCATGATTGCTGTTATCAAGTCATGGCATGTGCCGCTAGTTGATGTTGGTAACGACGCTGTGAAAGCGTTCGCACTACTGTTGCGACAGTCTGACAAGGGACAGAAGCAGAGGCCGCTTCTTGAACAGTGGTCGTTGCGAATGGTCATCACTTCATGCATGTGTTGACATGCATCGAGCGATGTCGAGCACTGGAAATTATGAGAGAAAGACAGAAAAAGACCGAGAGACCGATGTACGTATGGACATTTTTGTCCTCATTCCAACAAACTTACATACATACGTACATGCATGCATACACAAATACAAATACACACATACCTACACAGGACCTTTGCAGGTTCCACCAAAAGGGGTCCCTGGTTTTCACCGGCTCGGAGCCCGAGAAGTAGAGTGTTTTAGTTATGATAGAATTTCCATGTTCCGCAAAGAGAGCCAAACACAGATCGAAATTCAATACCAGCTATTACTTTCAATATGTTCGGAACTATAAGACAATCTAATATGAAATAACATAATATAACATGATATAACATAATGTAAGATAATGTGTTACTACATTACATTAGCTTCACTTTCATACGTTTATTTCACCTGTGTTTGTGTACGTCTATTCGTTTTGCTTCTGATTTCTGTTATGCGCCGCCGAAAGCAGTTTGGCTCTATTTTCCACCGGCATCGGTGGCCACACGCATAGGTGTTTCGCGGTTGAACCTGTGCACGAAGCCAAGGGCTCCATCATACAGCAGCGGTCAAATGTCTTGCTAACAAGGTGTTTCGATGTCTTTTCCTAGACATGTCCGGCGAGCGCGCAGCAAACAAACCGTTGAACTATTCAGGGGTTGCGCGGTGTACGTGTTCGGGTTTCGCAACAGGTTTGCACCGAGTACGGAGACACAGGGTTTTGGCAGCTTCCACGAAAGAGATCCCTGGTTTTCGCCGGCCCGGAGCCCGAGAGTTGCCTGTTTCACATCACGGGAACTGTCACGCGCAGCTGCAATGATGGATCTTGTGCAGTCGCCAGCAAAGAAAACCAACCTTTTGAGACTTAGGAGATTGGGTGTCTGTGTTTTTCGGTCGGGCTTTGGAAAAAGATTGCCCCCGATGGTAGGTGTCGGGGTGTGGTATTCGTCGGTCTTCGCCTCCTGCTTTGAAGCCAGCTCCGTCTATGGTGCAATGTTCGTTCCGAATTAAAACTTCATCAATACATCTATGCGCTAAACGGTGGCCAAGTTTGAGGTTTCAAGCACTGGGAGTTCCAGGGAAGAACAGACCTTGGCACTCCTGTACTTGCTTCTGATATGCACTGCACACCAGCACCAGCCGCGCTAACTCCGATGAGTACGACGACGATGGTGCTGGTCGCGGCAGCTCGACTTCCCTGCCTCACGTTCTAAACTATCGGAGACATCCGGGCCAAGTGTATGTGGGTGTGTGTCTCTGGGCTCGTTTCTATCGACAACATGCAAAGACGAGCTTCCTGATTGAAGAACACAGCTCGGAACCTTGAAGCACTTGCTTGAAGTGCAATTAAACCCAAGGCCTGCCCTGACCCTGCATAAAAGCCCACACCCCCAAACCCAGGCAAAAAAACAGCTCCCTGCCCCAACCTGCCGAGATGGCAGCCGTGGACTTTGCACAGTTCGAGAGCATCCTCAAGAGGTTCAAATCTTAGGGTCATGGGGATTCAGGGGTTTGGGGTCATTTAGGGTTTAGGGGTTAGGGTTTGGGGTTTAGGGTTTTAGAGGGTTCAGAGATATGTGAGGGTTGATGGGAGGCTTCACGGCTCGGGGCCTTGTTTGATTGGTTCGGAGGCGTTGCCAAGGGTTCAGGGCTTCTTGGGGTACATTGAGGAGGCAGTTTCGGAGGTAGGCAGCATGAAGGACCCCTTCATAAGGACTTTCACGTGGGGGATCTGTTGATGGTTCAACCCGAGTCCGCAGCCTACAACATCGAGCCGAAACCTGAAATTCCCAAACTTTCAACCTCGGACTCTAAAGCCCCAAAACCCACCAAGAAGCAGAAGTCTCCAACACTCTGCCAGGCTTGAGGCGGTGGCTGAGCGGTTGGAGGCTTCACGGAGTGGAGGGGAGGGTCGCGCGTTGGAGCTTCGGGTATCGAACCCTGAAGCTTCGCAGCTTGAGGGTGCAAGGCAGCTCTACTGCAGGGGCTTGAGGATTGCTAGATGTGGGCTGTAAGTCGGGACTCTGGAAACTGAGGTCTCGATTTTGGTGATTGGTTGGTGCAGGATCGAAGTTCGGTGTTCACATTGACATGGGGCTGACAGGTTGTGGCTTACTCCGATCGAAACGATTGAGAAACCCCACCAAAAGCTTACGCTCCTTCGCCGTCGTTCACAGGGATCGCCGACTGGTGCTCCTGCAGGCCGTATGTGTTGAGGGTGCGGCGTTTGTTTGGTGCGATTCGGGGCTTTCAGCATCAGGTGTCAGGGTGAAAGTTGGGTTTGGAACATGTCGTGAGTCAGACTTAGCCTAGATGTTTTAGTGTGGTTCTGGGTTCTGACAGCACGTAGCTAGGTGGCGCTGCTGCCGGCGGAGGGGACGACCTGCCGCCTCTGGTGCTGGCGTGGAGCCCTCATGCTGCCCATGAGCTGCTGATATCCAGGAATATGTACGCTTATCCGTTTTAGCACAAGGACAAGACATCATGGTGAACGTCAACTCAACTTTCATTTGGTAGCAGGGCCCGCACCTCATCCTCGTGACTTTAGAGCCGTCATAGCGGTTTCTGGTACTCCACCTTTACAGCACTGGAGCCTGCCGCCCCACCAGTGCCCGCTGTCGGGGTCCGAGGATCCCGGGCGTGTTTTCATGACTTCGATTCGGGTCCGTGGGTTCAGGGGCTTAATGTAAGGGCCTTCAGAATTAGAATAGGGTTTGGGGATATATTAGACTACATATTTATAATAAGAAACCTCCAAGTCCTATTCTAATTATTAAGGCCCCAATTTCATGAGGCTGTGGTCTGGGGTTCGTACTCGGACTCGGGAAGCTGAGACCTGAAAACCGTAAACCACTAAAAATTCTGCCCCAAAAGCCTGAAACCTGCAGTCCCTACACCCAACGGCCCCCAGACCCGAAATCCCCAAGCCCGAAGAGAACTACGGCTATAAATGCAGTTATGACTATGATACAACGAAAAATGCAGAAACAGATAGATACAGCTGTAGATATAGATACCGATGTGTAGATATGTTTTAAAACCCTATGGCGAGGTTTGACGCCTACCTGCAGACCAAGCTGGCTCCTGCAGAGCAGCGCAGCTGCAGTCGGTTTTGGGTTGGCTGAGGGTTTCTTAGCCAATAAACTGTTGGGCCTCTTTTATTTAGTTTATCTTAGAAATTCTGAACTTTTAATATTTGTTTTTATTATCTTAGAAAGCTTGAACTTGTAAGTTGTGCCAGAAGATGAATTCTGCACTCCCCCAGCCCCAGAAAACTTTCCCGAAACCCCAAAGCCCGAATATGTTCGAAGCCCTAAGCCTTAAACCCTATATACCCTTGAACCCTAAAATCTAAACCCTAACCGCTAAGGGTCCAGAGCCTTCCGGTAACACGGATTGCGTAGCTTGAAGACTCTTCTGGCAGTCGCAAAAAGGCGTTCAACAAAAAAAGACCTAACCGCTAGATCCTCTACCATTCCTAAACCCACTAGAAAGCCCTCTGCCCTGAATCCTAGATCCCCTACCATTCCCAAACCCCAGAAACCCTTCAACGCTAAGCTCTAAACCCTGAACGCAAGATCCCCTACCATTCCTAAACCCTAGAAACCCTAGTCCTAAAACCCTAGACCCACCGCCACCCCCCCCCGTTTCGACCCAGGGCTGCTGCCAAAGACGTGGGAGTCGAGGCACCGCTCGGGAGGGGGCCTAGCTGCAGTCTCCATTCTAGGTTCCTTTTTGGGAAATCTTAGGGGACTTTGTCAGGGTTCCTAAAGAGCTCCTTAAAGGGATCTATAGGGTTCCTTAAAAGGGATCTTTGGGTTTAGGGTATAGGGTCTACTTGGATGATCATGGGACTGAGTAAGCAAGGTTATAAGTACCCTAACTGGGGCTATAAGTAATTATAAGTATAGTTACATTATCTATAACCGCAATTATAAGTCCCATGATCCTCCAAGCACCTTATAGGATCCTTACTAGATAATTGGTTAAACAAAAGAAGGAACTACTATGGAGACTTAAGGTAGAATGCACCGAAGAAGAGAGGCCTTAACCAACGGCGACAGCATACGAAAGTAAAATCTACCCGCTTCAGTTCCCCGATCACTAAACTGTAATGCAATAATATACACAACCTTGAGCACTATACTTTAACGCCGCAATAATAGACATGCAGAAATCCATTCCAAATAGTTAGGGCTCTGAAATGTCAGCTCTTCTCCTTCGTTGATTCCTGGAAGTTTCAGGAAGTAGGTATCATCCCTATGTTCAGAACTACCCCGAATGCGCAAGCCTGGACATGTGCACACATGGACATCGATCAGATTCGCTGGGATTGTCCTCATGCCAATCTCACGACAGCGTAGTAGATTATATACATCAGACGACAGCGCATTGGGACAGTTTCCGAAAGTGCACGGCACCTTCTCTCGAGGAATCTTGCAGCAAGGAAGCTAGGCTTTAAACTTTTACGTTGCCATGATGTTAGGGGAATGTTTGGAGCCGCCAGGATGTGACTGAAGCCATGCAGTCCTACGTGCAGGGGCTCAGGCGCACCGTGCCTAAAAATACCATGTCCATGGTTCAGGGTTTAGGTTTTGCAGTTTGGGGTTTAGGGTTTAGGATTCAGGAGTGTTCTCAGACTTTTTGTGTGTATCGGCTTGGGGATATGTGGGGTGAAGGAGGACTGTTCCTTTTTGCGAACATCTTGAGCGCCACGTCTTCCAGTGACTAAGGAGCTTCAGTGCGAATTGGAGAATCTCCCTGTAAGCCCCGTCAAGGTTCATGATATTTAGACTGCGTACTCTGACTTGTCATAAGAGTCAGCAGATGTAAGCGTACCACGGATAGGTATTGCGTCCATGATCACGGATAAAAGAGCTTCGTGCCACGGAGTGCTCGTCTTGCTGCGCCTGCCTGATGTGTTGCTCTCATAAGCTGCGCCATCATGGCGCGCCATGTTTATTAGCAGCATGAGCCACATCTCGTCATCATGTTCATCTTCTTCCTTATAGCTGACATCATCGTCAAGGGCAAGGTCATTGCCATCGTGATTGTCCTCCTCCTGCTCCCGCTCCCTGTTTCTCCACACCCTCACCCTGAAACCCTCGCGCTCAGCGGCACCACCGTCCTCCCATTGCAGCGCTCCTTGCAGTGACCTGATGACCTTATTGGCTTAGCGAGCCCTGCTAGGCGAAGCTTCCCTAAGAGCCCAGGCTTATGGGAGGTTTATACGGGGTTGAACCGACAGCAACCCACTATACACAGGTAACCTGGCTTCAATGGCCTAAACCCCAAACCTTTGCACCCTAAACCCTAAAACCCTACAGCCTTACAAGCCCTAAACCCTAAAGCCCCAAACGCTAGACCCTTGAGTCCACCCTAAACCTTCGTGGTCCCATGACGAGTCGAAATTTCCAGCGATGTGAGCTTATTCGCCTATAGTTGAGTATAGTAGACTAAGTAAATAGCATAACAAAGCATAGTATGGTACAGTATGGTATCATGCAACAGAATATAGTATGAAGGCTCCTGCGCGAGCTGCTCCTCGCCGCTGCCCGCTGCAAGAAGCCGCAGGTAGGCACGGGGCCGGAAACTTCAAATGTAGTATTATCGAATATTTCGATATTATACTATACAATACTATACCAAAACAACTCTGCTAGACTACAATACGTTAGAGTTTACCATAGAATAATAGACTAGACTAAACTATACTGTAACATGATATGTACTATAGTATCATCGACTATCCTATACAATAATACAGTATTAGTGGAATCTTCTATATGATACAATCAGCGACTGCGCCACAATCGACTTTAATTCATTCGCTTCGTGGTGGATCCTGGGCTTCCAGTGCTGAAGGGGGGGAGCCTGATCACAGCATGCTGAGCACTTCACGAGCTCCTGAGTGCTCTTTCGAAGTGCCCTGCACAGTACAGTACAGCATAGTAAGCATATTGGTATAGATTATAATCTAGCACAGTCTAGTACAGGACAGTGTAGTATATTCTTTTGGAAAGACCCAAACCCTGAGGCCTAAACTCCCAAACCTGAGCCGCAAGACTCCCTCCCGCCCTTCCACTCCTCCCCTTCAGCCCGAAATCCCCAATAAAACTCTTGATAGCAAACCCTTTTCATTAAAGACACCCTCAACCTTTTGTGACACCCTTTTTTAGTAGTACCGCTTGGAGATCCTAATCACTCACTCGAACCCTTTTTAGATGTGGGCGGCAGGACAGCGACTGGCAAGTGATTCTGAAGCCCGTGATGGAGCTGGGCTCCACGGCCGCTCCGCTTAAAGAACAAACAGGAAAGATGCTCTCCTTTACGGCTGCTGCCATAGTTTTTAAGTTCCGTTTCCCAAACCAGCTTTGTACAGGGTTACATGGTGCTATGGGGTTTGCACACGGTGGGCTCAAGTCTCAACTCCCCGATATCTCTGCTGGTTCTGGACTTGGCTTTCAGTGTTCGTGGGTTGGAGTTTGTTTGGGGTTCGAGTTTAGAGCCCGCAACTAAGGATGTTACTGTTATACTGCTACAATATCTCTAGACTCCATGTCATGCTACGTGAATGGGCTCTTGTTACCGGTCCAGGAGCTTTCCCTAAGGTGCCATAGTGAACTCACTCTTCAGCCTCATTATGGCAGCTAAACACCTTATGTTGCAATCTTATGGCCTCGACAAGGCCCGTAGGTTATGTTTCTCTGCAAGACGTCGCGATTCCCGCCTGAGGCGCAGAAGGCTTGCGACCCTCGGAGCGACTTCTTCCAAAACAGGACATTGCGACTTCAGACATTTTTTTGTTTGTTACTCCGTCTTTGAAGGGCCGGAGGGCGGGGGCGCTAAGCTCAGACGCTGGGTCGTTTTAAGCGAGGATGTGACGGGTGGTTTCAGCTACTGCTGCTACTGCTGCTAGGGCTGTTGATTATCCCCTACAAGACCGACTGCGCCTGCGACTGCGACTGCTTCCACTGCTGCTGCTGCTGCTCCTGCTGCTACTGCTGCTTTTTCGCTACGCTGCTGCTGCTGCTGTTGGCTCTACCACTAACACCGCACGATGACGATAATGTCGTCGACGATAGCTTTCTCCGCGGCCAGCACTGACGCTCACACTGGGAAGAAATACAAGCGATGTCCAGACTGCTCACATTTTTCGCGATGCACAGGACCATCCACATCGAAGCCAACACTTTTTTTTGTTTTTCCCTTCCCCGTTTGGCCCGTGCCTGTGAGTTCACGACTTGAGATCAGTTTGATGTTTCATCGGAATCATTGCTTGCCTGAACTTCTAGGCTTCGTTGCAGCTTCGGGGTCCAGACGTTTCAGCCCCAAGTCAACAGACACCAAGACTTGGAACTTAAACTCTGCAAAACTCCAAATCCGAAAACCCGTAAGTTCCAACCTGGTTCTGATTGTGCCACAGTCTGCCTATTTTTAAACGCTTCGCGTCGTCCGCCCCGGCCTGGCTGTGCTTGAAGCAGGTGCCTGGAATCGGAAAGCAGCAACCTGAAAGCTCGTAGGCCTTAAACCCGAAACTCTAAACCCGAAGCCCTAAGCCCGCAGTGACCGCTTCGGCCGTCGCCGTCGCGAGGCGAGAGCCTTCAGGTGCAGAAACCTTGCAGTCTCAGTACAGAGGAGGTGGGCAGGAGTGGAGGTCAGGCAGCCAGGTTCGTAGGGGGGTGGGTTGCTGGGGAGGGGGTTCCCTCTACTCTACTTGGAGGATCATGGGACTTAGTAACTAGGGATATAAATATGGTAACTATACTTATAACCCCAATTAGGGTACTTATAACCTTACTTACTAAGTCCCAAGATCCTCCAAAGTATTCCCCACCTGGAGCGAATCCTTACAAAAACCTCTGACCGCTTCGGCCAGGGAGAGGCGATTTATCTCCCGACCCCTCACATCCTGCACGGGAGTTTCCGAAAATTAGGGGTACCTTGCTTTGGGGTCCTTATAATCAGGATTCTATTATTCAAGGTACTATACTATAGGGTCCCTTATTTGCGGAAACAGCCGCATCGTGCACTTCGAAGCACTTTCATGACTTCTACATTCCCGCTTGGTCTTATCGCAGACTCTGCAGGAAAGCATGCGCAGAATCGCTCAATGTGATTATGCGCCCAGCCTCAGAACTGCAGTGAATCCACCTTGTTTTCGTTGCTGCAGATCATTCTTCCTAGCTCACTCAGTGAATCTGGTGCTTCATGCCGAGTATGATACTACTTGGAGGATCAGGGGACTTGGTAACTAGGGTTATAAATAAGGTAACTATACGTATAACTCCAATTAGGGTACTTATAACCTTACTTACTAAGTCCGGTTATCCTCCAAGTATGATACACTTTGCTTTGGTGGACAAGCGACAGCGCTTAAGCAGCCTGATTCTGGTTGCCAGCCAGTACTGGCGGGTACTGCTAGCATCCTTAGTGCGCCCGGCAGTCTTCGAAATACAGTAGCCTTTGTCATAGCTGGGTAACATTCCACATGTTGATGGGTACTTAAACTGAATAAGGAATAGAAATCTGAAGTTGTAGCACTATCCCGGCCTTGAGCCAATGAGCATGTTATCAAGATGGCTAACCAGGACCCAGAGTAGGTCCCTTTAACCCCCAAAAGGGCGCCCTTTTTATTCCTAGGATACTCGTTGGTCTAGCTATGATGACACTCAAGTTCAGGAGACAAGCACTATAATTAGCAGCTATGATCATCAAGATGGCTAATGGTTCGATATGGCAGCGTCAGGCTTGTAACCGGCAGGGCCAGGGGCTTTCGGCTTTCGCCTCTGGGGGTCCCTTATATGATTGTTAAAACTTATTGTATGATGGTTATAGTGTAATTATAGTATTATTTTTAGTATAAGTATAGTATAGTTATAGTAGACTTATAGTATAGTAATTCTATCATTATTATGTACGTATACTGTCGGGCTGAGGCTAGTGACATCGCCTTCTCCTCCGGGACATGCCCGGGGCTCACGGCTCACAGTCTTTTGGCAGGCTTGGGGGCTTGAAGGCACGGTGGTTTGAATGCCGGCACTGCCCAGAATCCGTGTGGCGAAACAGGATCGCCTCCAGACAGCATCAGGTTCCAGCCGAAGTTCGAAGCTACCGAGTGATCTTCACTAGCACAGGTGCTTGCTAGACGTGTCTTTGCCTGCGCTCTCAGGTGCAGAGCGTGTTGGAGACCTTCGATTTCCATGCTATGAAGGCTCGGGCAGGGCATTGTCTCATGGCCTTTGGTTGAACTGATGTGGGTGTGAGTTTCGCCCAGAACCATGTGCAAGTCGCCTCAGCGATGGAGCAGAGCCATGTTCATCATTGTCATAGATTCATAGATGCGCCAGCCATTCAGCATTGCCCATTTCATCTGCAAATGTCGTAAACCCCTTTCCGCTCCTCCCCGCCAAGATAGTGGTAGGGAGGCTACACGAAAAGACTTGATTTTCCGGCTGACCGGCAGCCCAATTTAACAAGATCTGTGGTTTGATACATTAAAAGTACCATTGCTTGTATAGTTATCTTTATGTATTACCAATTGTACTACTGTTACTGTTATCATCATTATTGCTAATGTTATTGATATTATTGTTGCTATTCTGCTTACTCGGTTTTCGATGCCTGATAGCTGATACTGTGGGGGTACTCTGATGTGTCCTACGTTTTTTGTTGTTTTCCGGGCCCCGAAAATGGGCTCGTAAAGCTCGTCGAACGTGTGGCAGGGTAGGGAAGCCCTGGACGGAGGTTTTCAGGCCTGGAGAAGTGTTGGGAGGGACTTGGCAAGGCTGCGGTGCATGAATAGTAGACGCCTTCAAATAGTGCCCGAATAGTGCCCGAATAGTGCCCGAAATAGTGCCCGAACTAGTGCCCGAATGAACCCTTCATAGTGCCCAAATGATTTTTCGCGAAGAAAAAGGAGATTTTCCTTCCTTTACGAAAGGAAATGTATTTGGGCACTATGAAGGGTTCATTCGGGCACTATTTCGGGCACTATTTCGGGCACTATTCGGGCACTATTCGGGCACTATGCCAGGTGGAGGCTTGGGCGGCATTATCTGGAGGGCTAAGGGTTGGGAGGCCTGCAGGACCACCAAAACACTGGAAATGCGCACGAAGAATAGGAATTTGTGCTGCAGGAGGCATTGGGGAGTGATCTGCGGGGCAGGGTTTGGAATGCAAAAGGGGGGGTTTAGGGAAGGATCTGCAGAGTTTAGGGCAGGATCTGCAAGGCAGGATTTGGGGGAGGGTCCGCAAGCAAGCGTTTGGAGGAGCATACACGAAAAACATGAGGGGTGGCATGTGCAAAAAATTGTAGGGTAGTCTATCTACAAGTTTACGGGGGCCTTGGCCATGCGAGGGTTTAGGGAAAGATCAGGCAGGACTTCGGGGAGGATCTATAACGAGACTTTATGAAGGAGTTATGGTTTTTATCGAGTGCAGCAGCAGTCAGTCATTGACAGTCTTCTTGTTTGCATATTCAGAAACCTCCCCCCCGCCCCCTCAATTTCAATGTGTGCCGCAATGTGTGCCGCAATGCTCATTGGGCGCTTCTATGTAAACATTGAATTTGGGGGGAGCGGGGGGTCTGGAAGGTTTCAAGATTTGTGGACAAACAATTCCAAAATTGTACTATCGCGCGAGGCCATTTTCAGTGTTCGAAAAACCACGAAAACTGTAGGACGCATTAAGGTACCCCCATAGTCAGTTGCCGCCTTGCTTGCCATGCTGTGGTATTTATGACAAGTAGTTGTCATGACATCATGGTCAACAGTCTCAAGCTGACCACGCACAGACCCCGCGCATAGCTACAAGGTTGTTTTTCGAGCAAAGTTCCAATCCAATTGGGAGCGTCTTTGTCCAAAGGTTTTCGATCCATTCTAGAGCCCATTTTCGAGCTCCAAAAACGAAGCCCAAAATGGGGTCTCCCCTAATAGTTTCCAATCAGGCGGTCTCAGCTTTGGGAACCAATTTTTGGCCTCAAAATGGGGACCAACCCGAGCTCAAAAACTGCGGAATTCTGCGAGGGAGACGTGTTTGAAGCTTTACCAAAGTTTTGCCCGACATGCGGCGACCAGTGTCGCGAGCGACCGCGTCTGTTGAAATCAATCAAAACGCTCCGTTGCTACCCTGGTGATTGGGCTTGTGCTGCTTAAGCACCGTTGTTTGCCACTGTAACAGTCAGTTGCCGCCTTGCTTGCCATGCTGTGGTATTTATGACAAGTAGTTGTCATGACATCATGGTCAACAGTCTCAAGCTGACCACGCACAGACCCCGCGCATAGCTACAAGGTTGTTTTTCGAGCAAAGTTCCAATCCAATTGGGAGCGTCTTTGTCCAAAGGTTTTCGATCCATTCTAGAGCCCATTTTCGAGCTCCAAAAACGAAGCCCAAAATGGGGTCTCCCCTAATAGTTTCCAATCAGGCGGTCTCAGCTTTGGGAACCAATTTTTGGCCGCAAAATGGGGACCAACCCGAGCTCAAAAACTGCGGAATTCTGCGAGGGAGACGTGTTTGAAGCTTTACCAAAGTTTTGCCCGACATGCGGCGACCAGTGTCGCGAGCGACCGCGTCTGTTGAAATCAATCAAAACGCTCCGTTGCTACCCTGGTGATTGGGC